ATACACTCTGGCCCTGGACACATGGGGAAGGCCTAGGCCCAGCACAGGAAGATTTGGTGGACTTTGCAGAGCCCCTGTTGAGGGCCCTACCCTGCCTGGGGAGTGGTGGGTGGATGGGGTGGGGGGTAGGTTGGGAGTGGGGGAAGAAGGATGGGGGTGAGGGGAGGCAGAGGGAGAAGGGGCTTACATGTGAAACAAGCTTGTTCCCTAACTTGAACTAATAAAAAAAAAGAAAAAAAAAGAAAATCTAGAGAATAAAAGTTAACACCTGCCCAGTTAGACCCCCACCTGGGAAAGAGTCATTATAAATGCAAATTAGGCCAGGTCAGCTAAAATGAAAATGAGGCATTGGCAGCTAATGAGAGCTTTACAGGTTGAATTAGAAAAGACTACTCACAAACTTCAAGTAATTTTCAAAAGTTGTTTGGGACATATAGCTTAAAGAAATTAAGCCTCAAAAATTAGTGATTAGAAAGGATAATTTACAATGTTTGAGTGATTTTCAGAAGTTGTTGTGAAATATTCAATGGTTACATCCTTTTTTAAGGGCATCTACTGGTGATTTAAATCCTTTAAGTAAGATTCTAATTCAATTCACCTAGACAGTTAATTAAAGAAGAAAATTGCTGTGTTCTGTCAGTGATGTGGGAGCTCATTCAGACCTTCCCAGCCCATTGGCTGGAGGGAATGAGTCAACAGATTGATTGACAAAGTTGGTTGCTTTATCTCAGGTAGAGAGAGCTCTGCAGTCTCATGGCTTTCATCATCAGAATAGCAATGAATATGGATATTGTAGTAAGGCATTTCAGCTATTTTGTACTCAATAGAAAACTTATCACAGGGCAGGTGTTATTGTAATCCTTGGGGGCAAGGAGTTGTGGAGCATGCCATAGCTCCTTGAAAACATAACTTCAAAAGATGAAAAGAAGAGGGAGTAATGTCCCCAGTCTCCACATAATACATTAGACAGTAAAGAAGACCCAATCCTGCCCTAATTTGGGGTTGAGGGCATGTTTTTGTCTTCTTGCAGGAAAAGAATAGAGTGAGATGGCTGCCAGAACCTTTGGTGAGACGCATGGAGCAGAGAAAAACTGGACCTGAGACCATGGGAGCCTACCCAATCCAGTGCAAGTGAGATTCACTGAACCAGTGTTCCTGACCCTTAATGGCATTGAATCTACAGTCTGTGAAAGAAAGGAAGCATTGGGTTGCAGAGTTTCAGTTTCTCAGCAGGTGGTCCATCTTGCAAATTGATGGACAAAAAGAGACTTTGGCATCACTGTTGGGGTGATTGCAGGTATTGCTGTTGCTGTTACAGCAGCCACTGTATATGGGATTGTCATCTCACAGTCTGTAACCACAGCCAGCATGGTGGATAAACTGGCAGGGGAAATAACAGAGGTATTAGCACTCAGAGCTCCATAAATAACTTAGTCCAGGTAGGAAGTTTAAATCTTAATCAACAAGTCATACTCATCAATTAGCCAATCAAATTATTAGAATAAATGAGACTCAGGGTCCTCCATCCTCTGGAGAGATTCTCCTTAGGGGATTGCAGATGGCAGGCCATTTAGTTAAAGAATGGGCTGGGTCCCTATCTCTGGGCCTTGCAGCCATAAGACTTCTTTTGGCTAAGGCATCTTGGCGATAGACAAGCCTAGGCTAAATTTGTCACTTGATGACCACAGAAAACCCTTCAGCTCAACTATGGTTGAGCCTATAGAAAAATTTGGCAGCCAATGATGGGTGATACCAAGGGGATGCAAGCCTACCTAAGACAGGAGGGTCATGCAGCCAGAGTGATTTCTCCATTGACAGGTAAGGTTGCCATTAACATCCTGGTCACCTAACATGGCGTTAATTTATATATAAAGAAGGGGGAGTTGTTGGGTCCCAGCCCCCACTGGGTCTCTGTGAGTTTCTTGTCAGCCAATAACCACAGGTGCATCCTGTTTTCTAGTCCTGGCTTGCAGCCCTGGCCTCGCCCCACTACACCTGGGAAAACATGAGCTCTTCTTCCACAAGCTCTTACAACTGGGGTTTTTCCACTGGGCTGTAAGTGTGTGTAAGACTGCTCTTCCTCTGGAATAAAGAAGACGAATAAAGTTGGACAGACACACATAGCACAAGCGGCTGGATGCCGCTGCTTTTAACTAAATCTCCA